GAAAAACTAGGATAAAAACTTACATGAAAAATACTCACTATAAGAATTTAATGAAATTAAAGCATCTTAGTCAGAAAACACGCGCTAAGTGACGTGTCAAAGTTGAAGTGTTAACTCAGAGAAGCAAAAATTAGTGTCACTACCTATATATATAATATACAGGGTGTCCAGCCTTAATATGACCCAATAGCTAATTCCCGAACCATTCGGTTTAGATATGCACATTCAATTTGAAAAATGTTTTAAAACAGGTAAAGAATGTTTTTACGTGCTTTTCAAACCAAAAATCCTTTAGGAAAAAATTACAAAAATTAATTTTTTATACGGTCCCCAGGTCTTATCATTTATATTTAGGAAAAGATGCAATACACCAAAACAAAGTAAACACAAGTTTCATTTTATTACGATAAAAACTGGCCGAGTTATGGAACTTTAAAAAACATATATTTTACCCATTTTCTCGGCTATTTTCAAGAAGCCAGTAAGGGGCCGTCTCCAAAGTGAAATTAGTTGGAACGCTGCCAGGAAACTTTCGCTCTTGCATGTCATTTTTATGTAAATCGTTTTTAAATTTAAAAGCATACGTTAAGAATACAATAATTGAGCACTTAAGAAATAAAATTTATTCTGTGCACATGTAAAACATAGAAAAAATAAAATATTTTGTACGAAGAAAACATTTCAAAAGCAGTTCCAAAAAATAGATTTATATGCTGCGGCTTCAGTCTGATTTGCTGCGTTTCTGCTGATCATGACGAACGTTAAAAATCTGTTGTGTAGTCGCTTGCAATTGCATACAGTTATATTCTAATATTGGGAACTCTAGTACGGGAGAGCGAGATGTATACAAATGAAGAATACTGCGAAATGGTACTGTTTTATGGGCAGTGTAGTAGAAATAAGAGAGAAGCGGCAAGATTTTATGCCATTAAATTTCCCACTCGAAGACATCCATCTTATTGTACAATTGCCCGTGCTGTTCAACGCTTGTATAAAACTGGGAGTTGTCATAGACGTATTCCCTTATCTCGTGCCACACCTCGTGCCTTCACCATTATTTAAGTTAATTTGGTCATTCTGATATAATAAAGCCCCTGATTCATGAGTGGCGCATCATTTCACATTATGCTATAATTTGAACGTCAAATCCTGTATTATTTTGCTGCTATTTGTTAAAACAAGCGGTTTTAATCTTTTCGGTACAAGTTGTATTTCTTTAATTTTTATTGTTTGCCATACAGCAATACAAATTGACAATCTATGATGTTTTTTTTTGTTGCTCTTTCTGTAGATAGTGAATTACTGTTCTCTAAACTCAATTTATATACCACCCCCTTTTCTGAGCAATTCAGATGCTTCAATTTTATATAGGTATAACTCGGTCAGTTTTTATTGTAATAAAATGAAACTTTTTGTGTTTACATTGTTTTTGTGTACTGCATCTTTTCCTAAAAAAAGTGATAGGACCTGGGGACCGTATAAAAATTTAATTTTTGTAAATTTGTTCTAAATTTTTTTTTGGTTCAAAAAGCACGCAAAAACATTCTTTACCTTTTTTAAAACATTTTTCAAATTGGAAGCGTATATCTAAGCCGAAAGATTCTGGAATTAGCTATTGGGCCACATTAAGGCACTCTGTATATATATATATATATATATATACATTTTATGAAATTATTAGAATAGTGAGTTGGAGTTTTGAGTCTCCATGTAGTGTAGTAAAATTGTTGCCAATCATGTAGAAAAACAATAATTCTGTTTGTGCATGCGTTGACAGCATTGAGAGACATATTTTGATTAGGTGAAATTGGCACATGGCATGATGCATAAGTACGAAATATTTTTACTTCTTCAGTGCTTTCGCATACATGAAATATCCACGCCATTTACGGGCAAATCTTTCAGGAGAAAATCCTAATTTTTTCTAGAATTATCGAGAAATTAAATTCAATATTTCTTCTATCAGGAAACAATGAATGCATGTTTTCATCTACAATAGCTAGCACAGATTTGAAAACCACACAAATGTGGAACATAGAAATTCAAATAGGTATTCACAATTTTGAAAAGGCAAATGAAGCGCATAATCTCTGTTAAATGTTTGACTCCATCCTTGCATCGTTTTTATATGGGTTGGGAAGAGTCTTTTAGGAAGCTTTTTAAGTTTTCTCATAAAATAATCACCTGAGTAACTTCTGGATTTTTATGCGGAAATCTCTTTATATTGCGAAATTTGGCGAAGTATTTCCCATTCTATTTTAATTTTTAATCACTATTCACTCTTAGCCTACAAACGATATTTTTGGCCACAGTACCTTTTCGGCATTGAAGCAAGCAAAGTTTTAACTTCTGTAACAATATGAACAAAGTAAACGAAAAGTTAAGTGATTTTAATCCTGCTTATATGTTTTTATGGAAAGAATCCATCTGATTCGAAATCGTTTCATAACGATTTTGAAACCTTTTAGCGTGTTTGCTCTATCAGGACTTCCAAGAATCTACGGAACACCACTAAGATTTTCCCTTCATAAATATTTTAAAATGTATTTGGGTCAATTTCCTTTTTCAGGTGTTATGGCATTAAAACAAAATAATAATAAATCATATTGATAACGCGTCTGCTCGCAAACACTTCAGCTTCAGTGTAACATTAATCAGCATAAAATGGCCTTAAGAGGAGTAATTGCTTTTTTTTAACGGCAATTATATATATATATATATATAGAAGAAATAACGGATCATTTTGAACGAGGAAACGCACTAAACACTTAACGATAAGCAAAGATTAGAAGCAATGAAGTTGAAAGTTATGCACTTTAAGAAGCCCTTAGTTAAAAAAAAAAATCGTTTTTTGTGTTGCTTGCTCATTTTTTGTATGAATTTCATCATTCCTTGGCGTACAGAAAATTAATAAACAACATTGCCAATCTCATTTCCCTAATTAAAAAAATGGTTTTTTTTTCAACTTCTTTGGCTGTTGATATTTTTTTTACTTAGAAATTTTTACATAATTTGATTTTGTAGTTTAAAAAGAAGCAGCGGGATAGTAAAAATTTCTTTATTTCTTATTTCGTGTGTTAATAAATGTTTTTTTTCCGGCTACCCTTGACTCTTATTGTTAAATAAGAATCGTTTTTATATATATATATAATATTATTAAGGAAATTTCTTAATGGCTGCTTATTTGGTTAACAATTCTCCCACTCAAGTCTTGTCTTTCAATACAATGGGATTCTAATCCAATTGGGCTTTCAAAAGTCTCTATGTGGTAGGACAGATGTGGTGAACCTTTATGGATCAACGGGCCATTTTTTATAAAGAAGTATTTAATTAGGTATACACGTGCCGTCAAATAATTTTGACTTGTGATAATTGGGAAAATAATAAAACTGAATACTAACAACTCAAAGCTCTTTATTTACTACGAAAAAAATACCTTTTACACTGTATAGCTGTAAATGTTTTAGCATGAAATTAAAATTAAAGTAAGATTAGTGTGACATGTGTTGTGTGTAGCAGATTAGATGACAAATAAGTTGTATTAGGTTTGTAAGATATTACTTTTAGTGAAATGCATGCTGAATTGGAGTCATCTGCCAAATGGTTTCTAAGTAATGAATTATTTTTACTGTGGTTCCCTGTTTCGACAAGAAATTTTTTTATTTGTTTCAAAATGCCGTTTAACAGACAATGTCCTGCATACCACTATCCCAAAGCATAAAATACACACCGCTTTGTCGCATTTACTAATCATGTCATAAAAAATTAATAATTTTTTTTCATAAAAAAGCAATAAAATATATAAATATATAAACAGAGATTGGATTTTGATTCATAACACAGATAGAACTAAATAAAACATGTTCTGAAAATTTCAATTCAATAACTTAAAAATATTTTGCGTAGGGATCTACTTCCGGTTTCATAAAATCCATTTCCGTTTTACTAATTATGCTATAACTTTGCTTCTAAATATCGTAAAAATAAAAATAGAGCGTTTTGGGAATCTTAAATGTATGGGGCATAAAATAAAAACATAAAAGAAATTTCAAAAATTTTCACCGAAACGGCGAATTTTGGGTAGTCATCTTAAAAATAAAACACTTAATTGAAGCTTAATAATTTTTTCTAAATGTCACATGAATATAGAGAATACAAATCCAACGTGATATTTACTGCATTTTTATATCCCTGGTATTTGCTGCAGTGAACTTAAATGAAGTCATTACTTAACGTAAACTATAAGTCACTAAATATTCATGCCTTTGCATTGCCAATCTTTAATAGTTAAAAGGTTTAAGTACACTTTCTTAATCAACTCTAATATGTATTGCAATGAATTATGGCTGTCGCGAGCGAGAGCAAGTTGTAAAGTTTTGATGACATTATCAACAGGACAAAGGAAATGACTGTCATCCTATCATACTTAAAGAGCAAGTCCTGCCGCTAACGTCTCTATTATTGTGCCATTAGGATTAACTTTATGGCAATTTTACGGGCTTTTATCTATGGGAATCTAGTTCATAGAGTGATTTTTACTTAAATGGCTATGTCTGTTCATTCGAAGGATAGCAACACTTTTTTTAAAAATAATAATAATTGGTCATGAAGACTGCAAAAACTAATTAGTGCTCAATTGTTACTAAGCGGTATATTGCGAGATTAAATGGCGATATATTTGCTTAAAGTTCTTAGAATTACTTTTTTCACGTAATATAAAAAAATTTTAAGTCAATTCCTACTTAGGTCAACAAAGAAAAGTTTTATTTTATTTACTTTTATTAAATGATTACAATTAATATAAATATATATATATATACACATGAAAGAGTCACATTATTAAGTGGCAAAATAAAAAGCGATTTTCGCTGCAATTTTCTATTTTTCTTTGTATATATATATTTATGGTGTTAATATTATTATTTTGTTTGTTCATTAATTGGATTTAATTATTTCAATAATAGTACAGTAAAAAGAAATTGCATTCTCAGAAATTAGGCCATCCCAGGTGGAATTCGAGCCCTCGACCTTTGGATGAGAAGTTCAACGCGGTATTCACTGCGCTACAGGGACACAACGAGTAATTTTTCTTTTGATATAGGGTGTTGGGCTATTCTTTTTGCTTGTTACTATTCATTCATTAATTAAAAACAATTAATGAATTAATATTTGAAAAAACTGTATTAAAACTTTAAGTGTCTTAAAACTTAAGCGAATGGATGAATAAAAAGTGTTGTATTAACGACTGAAAATTTGTGTGAACAAGATATATAAATAAATGTATATAGAAAAGTGAGAACTAATAGTAGGAATTGAAAAATGTATGCATTCTTTTTGCCACTCTTTTTTTTATAGCACTGTTCTTATGAATGCTTAAAAATTCCGATAAAAGGTGCTTTTATAGCGGAAACTATTTTATCCTCAGGCTGGGCAAGAGATCGACTCAGCCTTTCATCCCTTCAGTGGGTCGATAAGTGAGTACCAAGCTTGCCTGGGAACAACATTAGGAGTTTCGAGTCAGACTGACCACCTGACCAGAACATCTGGTGCACCTGAAGGCCCAAGGTGACGTATACTGAACTGGGCACAGTAGTCCCTAGCCCTCATGGGCTATTACGCCATTGAGTTAAGTTAAACATATATTATTTTGTTTACAAAGAGGTCAAGTGCCAATAAATTACATGACATTAAAAAAAACCAGAAGTGGGTATTCAAATGGCTTAAAATCTATGTTATTAACACAAATTACATATTAAAACAAATTACTTATTTGAAAATTTTGGAATTTTGAATTTCCGTCAAGGAGTTCACGAGGACGTTGTCTGTGAGCCACACCTTATTCTCCTAACTTCCACACCACGTCGTGGACGCGGTAAGCTAGTAATCATGGACTCGTGGCAAACGTGTCATAAGTTCGAGTCAAGAACCGCTGAAGACCCGCCGTGTATGGGAGTGATTTTTTTAGTACTACCATTTACAATATGATGGATAAATAATTTAGCGTTCTACGCATATGAATTCCATTAATACAAGTACTCGTTGAATCACGTAAAACCCAAAATGCATATAGAAAATTTTAATTCACCACTATTAATTGTCTACATTTTCTTTTAGTATTTTATGTTTATTTAAAAAATACAATTTTAAAATAGATTAAGAGATGTATACATTTATAACGATAAAATATGTGATGTTTTTAAATATATTTAAAGATAAAATATATTTAAAAACGTCACAAAAAACATTTCGGATAAAATAACTTGATTTAGACTTGTTCACAAGGGCAAGATATCCATTACTAAGGAATTCTTTTTATTAAATGTCACTTCTGCGAGCGATGTATTCTTATGAAAATAAAAATAAATATTTAAAGGATTTTCTAGTTTTTTTTTTTTTTTTCAAAATAAAGCTGAAAAAAGAATATTATTCTCTGGCGGAAATATTTATATTTTTTTCATTAAATAAATACTAGATATTTTTTTTTCAAAATTTTTTTTTCTCATTTGTCTCTTAGAAATTGAAAAATAAATAAATTTAAATCTTTTTTACAATTTATCTAAGCGTGAGAGAAAAGCCAAGTCGTCCTGATTCGTTTTTTGAGCAAACTGTTCTTAAAAACACGCAAACGGTATTAGTCTAGACAGGAAACAACAACAACAAAAGAAGTTAATCTATGTTGATTCGAATAACCACGATTGCTGACAGTTTTCATAGAATTATCTGACAGTTTTTGATATTCATGTGTCTACATTCGCTTGAAAGAGGGTAAACTATTTTTCTGTAAAATCGAATTTATTTTAAAGGGCTAAAAGAAACTTAAAAATTCTTTGCTCGTTTTTATAAATTCATTCTTTTTGTGTGCATAATTTTTGTAAAAAAATTTACAAAGTATTCTATGTTTAGTTTTTATTTTTGTGATTCTGCCTTACAAGTGATGCATGGAACATTTTTTCTTATTTACTTACAAAAATCTATTCAAATAAAGAATCTAACTGTGAAGAAAAATTAAAAGGGTATATCAACCTATAGCTTTAAATTACTCATTCAGATCTCAGTGTAGTTCAAATTAAATCCCTGTTTAAATTTCAAGTTTCACCAAAGATGTCATTATTCTAAATTAAGAGGTTTGCCACCAATACCCTTAAAGTTCGTATTACAGGGTAATTCGTAATCTTCTCCATAAATTACAGATATGTAAGGGAGTTAGTACACTATGAGGACCTCTTAATTTTTAACCACTGTCAAGTGTCGAGGGCTACACCTGAGTTAGTACTCCCCTCACTATATAAATTTCCCTACCACGCCAAAGTTAGGACTTTGAACCATTAACCCTTCATCTAACGACGGTACTTATAGGTACCACTCACTTTAAAATTTCATAGAATAACCCTTTTTACGAATACTCTGGCGATACTTAGCAGGAATATTCTCTTAAATCCACTCATCTAAGATATATGGCTGCACGGGTTTTATGATGAGTATTTTCGCGGGGAAGGCGAATAGTTTTATAGCAGAAATTGCGTTTTCAGCAGATTGCGAAGATTATCATTTTTGTTCCGAAAAAGTGGCGAATGTCAAAATGTAAGTGTCGTACATTTGTATGTTAATGAAGACCTTAGAAAATAATTTGACTATTATTTTAAGTGAACAGTGTATATTATTCATTTTACAGTTGAATATCTTTAATTAATTAATTAGCTTTAACGGATTAAATTTTCCATAGTCGAGTATTTTTTTTAATGTTTATCCCTTAATTGCCCGTGTAGTTATTAAAAAATATATCGCATGAAAAGAAATGCAGTAAATCCTAATGCGGTTGATAAAGGGTTAAAGACTGGAAGATAATATTTAATTTTTACATTGCTTCACGTTTTCGGAGTATTTGTGGTACCATGATTGTTGGAATGATAGACTTTCACACTAAAGAGGTCATGGGTTTGGGTTCCGTTCTTCAAGAGAACGTCGTTTGACGGGATTGCTGAAAGCTAAATTTTTCGTGATTGAACTTTTCCATATGGCTGGGATGTTAGAAGAATGAAGTACTCTCTGGGGGGCATTCTTAATAAATCCGATCATGGTTTATAATTAAGAAAAATGTTTCCAAAGTCCACTCATGGCCTCCGTAGCCTAGAGGTCAACGTCACGAACTCGTAACTGGCGTTGTCGAGTCATCAAGTTTATTACTATGCGTTTTCCAGCATAGGTTGTTGAGCTTCATTTATTGCGCAGTAGAAAAAGTGGGGGAAACATTTTTTAATTCCTTTCTGATCATTGAAAAGTATTTTTACTGCATTTTTATCATTTAATGATATATTTCTCTCTCTTTTTTTTTTGAATATTTGAATGTATAATCATTATTCTCATCATAGCCAAATGTACGTAAGCTTTTGGGAAAAATTTTCAAACAACAACGGAAAAAATCAGAAAAAAAAAACCAGTATTTCACTCAACAGTATATTATTCGTTTTGACTAAGGCCTTAAGCATGTATAAGTTCTACTACTTTTGCCATTTGTATCAAGTAGAATTATGGCTGGTACCCTATTAACTTAAAAAAATCATTGATTTTAATTTCAACCAATAAAGGATAATTAAAACAACTGATTTTAAGACTCGAGCTTCATTTATCATATTCATGTATTTGATTGCAATATTCGACTGCATACTTCAATTAATTTTATATATATAAATAGGAGTGCTTACATAGTTGCTTGGAACATATACAAACGCACATCGTTGAAAATATCGTTCCAAAATTTTACAGGGAGCTTGGCTGATGTATCAAAACAGCCATACATATATTTTCGACGGTAATATTTACAAATTTATTCTTAGTTTACTTTGTGCCAGCTAGTTTTTAGAAAACGATTTCTGCATTTGGTGACGGGCTTTCATTTGGCTTCGGTTAATAACGGGTTTTGTGAAAATCCGCTCCCAAAGGGGGATTGCGGGGGCGTTATAGATAAATTTTCCGGTTTTTGAACAATTAGACCTACATACTTGAAGCTTAATTAGTATGTTTTTTTAGTTGAGTAGAAATTCGCCGAGAAGGGTTTTATGGCAATCAGATCTCCAGAGGTGGGTTGCGGGGGCCGCACGGAATAAATGTATTCTTTTTTTAGAAATTCAGATCCTGTCTATTTTTTAAATTAAAAGAGTCAAGGGCTGTAAAGCTTAATGCTAAGACTTGGATATTAATAAATAAAAAATATAAAGTCATATATTATCCTGAAATACTCAGTGAGCGGGTGGTAACAGCTATTAATAAATATATTATTTCAAAAATAAAAAAAATATTTATATAAGTAATCATTATGAAATAAATCCCTTTTTAAGTACAAGGAAATTATATTTTTATCCGTAGTTAATTCCGCTTAACGACATAAAATTAATTAATTTGATTTAAACTGCTCAAATTCTAGCACAATTTAAAAAGTTATGGTGTATTAATGTAATATAATGAGGAATAATACCAGAGTTGAACATAGTTACCACACCCGGTTTCATAATTATTATTGGCTCACACAAAAAAAAGACATAAAACCATTTTTGATCTTCAAAATCTAAGCAATACAAAACGTATATCTAAATGATATTTGTTAATTTACGATTTTTTCATTTAAAAAAGTCTTGTTCTTCGACAAAGAAAAAATTTCATTAACTATGAACTAATGAAGGAAAAGAAAAGATAAATCCTTTTGTATTACAACATATAATTACACCACCTGAAAATCTTTATCCAAAAAAAAGATACTCTATTGTAGTGTTAAGTCTTGCTAATTATTATAATTACTCACTAAATCTCATCTCTGATTTTAAAAAACAAAGGTCAGGTACTATTTTCAATTTAATGAAGTTTTACGATTGTAATGTATTTTTTAATTAATGTGTTGCGAAATCTATGACTTTTTAATTAAAAATGTAAATGGCTTTCGTATTGAGTGGATTATATTTGAAAAGATGACTTTTTTCCTTTCGACAAAATCACAAAATAAAAATACCTGTAACTAGCAAAACTATTTGAATGTTTGATACTCTAATGCATTTTTAACGGGTTTTTTTTATGATCAAATC